ATCACGTCCTCTGGGATACGCCATGCCCTCCTGCACCACTGGGTATTGTGGAGACGCTTAAAAGACCCTTATAGACCAGGAGTTTTTCCATTACAGTTCCAGCTCTCGAAGTTCAGGTGAAGAACTCGGCAGAGACAGAACTTTGCCCGCGGGGTGACCGGGTCCTTTGAGTACTATCACACTGGTTTGAACTAAGCGCCGTCTCACCTCTGGTAGTTCACTACTGCTGACTGTGTTGTTCGTTGTGGGATTTTGTTATCGATACAGGTGCTGCACTTTGACTAGAACGCGGGTGGAGTCGGGAGACGACGCCTGGGTATAGCCACATTTCGGCCCACTTCCCGTGCACTTTTGAGCGGAGAAAGTGGCACGCTACAGCAACCGCGGAATCATTAACCTCGCACATGGCAAGATTCGCCTTCAGAGTTGAGTAATGTTTGTCTTCAGGTACTTAAGATGAGGAAAAGGGAAGGAGGGGGAGGGATAATGCGGTGCTGTCCACTCATACGATCAAGGTGAGCTCTAGACTCCAGGTAACACTGAGCATCCCTTCCCCGCCGACTCCCCTCCTTCCCTCGCTCCCTCTCCCTATTCGTAGAATGAACTGCGTTCGATGCAACTGCCGGGAAATCAGTTATGTCCAGGACACATCATTGGTTGGGGTACTTTGTCCAGTCCGTACGACCCCCCCCCTTTTTTTCAGGAGGTGGATACGTTCCCCCTAGTTCCCTCATCATCGAGCTGTCGAGGATAGCGGCGAGTACGTAAGATATGAAACGGGAACAAAATTCAGTAAAAAGTCAAGGCCCAATCTTCTAGGTCAGAAGGGCAGATACGACCCCTCTCCTTACAACGTCGTGAACATGAAAACAATTATCAAAATGAATTTTTTTTCAGCCGAGCCCCTCTCCTGCGACTAATTATACCCCTGTTAGCATTTTGATTCATGCTTCTGTTTCTGATATCTGCCAGACGCTGGAACATCGCTCCATCTAAGCGAATAGTAAAAGACGGCTGTAGTGCTCATGGGTCCCCGCCAGAGGTCCGCTCAAACTTTTGATCCCCAGGTCCCCTCCCACCCGACCGACCGGCCATGGAAACATCGACGCGATCAGGAGTTCTACCTCGATTGAGCTGACCCATTCACACCATTTGTCCCACTTTGATGCGACCTTCACTTTCGATGACAACCGTGAGCGAACAAAATCTGGCGCAGGCTGAATTTTGCGTACTTTCTTGTTCGCTGAGGGTGAAGGGGTGTACGTGAGGCCGCTGGCGCACCACTAGGAGCCTCATTCCTGTCGCTTATCGAAAGAACCAAAGGAGGAAAGGGGCTGGCACCCCGTCTCACACCCCCCTCTCCTTTGGCACGTGCCATCATCCTTAGAGAACAAGTAAAGCTAGCCAAGCGTACTTCCTAGTCATCGCAAAGACATACTCCGCGATCATCGGATGGGCGGAGACTCATGCCCACTAGTCTGTTCTTATTTGTGTACTTCCTCTTTCTTTTTCCGTGAAAAGCAGAGGCAATGCAATGATAAAGAAAAAGTATGTAAAAGTCTCTGCCCATCCGATGAACGCGGAATGTGCCTTTAAATCACGCAAAATTGAAAATGCAGACATTTTGCAACTACGTAACCAGCGTCAGCGAAAAGGACAGAAAGGATGGATCTCTTCGAGAATGGTCGATGTCATCAGGGACTGTGCTGAACTCTCTTACCGGAATTCCTCATGATTTGAGCAGAAGTTAGTCAGTCACTGCGAGCCAATTATGAGCAGGGGTAGTTTGGGGTTGCCACGAGGCGGCGCGACTATACCACGTCATACCATGTCTTACCTTACTCTTGTCACACACCGCCCTAGGATGAAGGTAAAAGGGCCTAGGAGCGTCGTATCTCATTTCGTGACAGGGGCAGGTAAGGACAAGGCGTGACACGATCGGCGCCGCCGCGCGGCCTCCCAACCAACTTTGCCCCCAAATACTGGTAACCCATAGTCTCTTTTCAGCCGGCTCATTTATCTACGCCGGTGGTACGACCGTCACGCCACAAGAAACATTTATTCTGTCCACAAAAGTCCCTCTGGAACTTAAGGAAGCAGCTCGTCTCGACTTTTTTGTCTATCAAGCAGGTGAACGAAAGAGATTTTTTGAGCGCTGTTCGACGACGGGGGGAGGGAGAGCATTTAGCACTTTAGCTGCTCCACTCTTTTCGGTTTACAAGTCCCACTCTGGTGAAACCTGTGAACTCTTGTGAAGCTGGAGCAAGTTCATCGAGCCACCGGGGCAAAACATGTCAAATCTTGTGAGCTCATGGAATAGCTCCCTAAATGGCTCGACATGTCCATGAGAAGTAGCAAAAGTGCGAAATGCCCCCTCCCTCTCTTAAACCGCGCCTATTTTTGTAAAAGTCCACAAAAACTGAGACGCAATTATCGTTTCAGGGATAAAAGCGAGGCGCCGCAGGCGTGCCTCAACGACCGTTGACAATTGCGCACGTCACCATAAAAGGCAAGCAGGCATAGATAACAACGTGCCTCGAAGGGGTGGAAGAAATCTATATATTCCGTCCTGTCACTACTATACATGGACAGTAAAGTTCATATCTTGGGATTCTCTTTTGAGAACATATTGTCTTGGCGCGTGCATGTCAAGGCCAAAGTCGTGGGCTGTGAACTTGAAATGTGGTGAGTGCGGCGCAGAGTGGGAAGGACCGTAACGAAAGACTGAGCGTCAAGTCAAGCTTCTGGCACGTCAAAAAGCTGTAAAAAGAGGTTAGTTATGCTGAAGGATAGCGAGATCTTCAACTTTGGCAGTGTCTAGTAGGAAACGAGAATTCAGCATATTATACTTGAAGATGGGTAGATACTTTTGGAATTGTGTTCGTACGAACAACACTCTCCCTGACCCCTGACCTCTCCCAAAAACTTGTATTGCGCCTATCTCTACAGCCACCCGAAGGTCAATTCAGATTCACTTCGTAGCTGATGAACTACAAGACAACTATGCCATCGGACTGGATAATATCCAGTTGCTTAACAAACATGGAATGTCTGCTTTGTCCTGCAAGTGACAATAGGTCCTGTTTGGTTTTGAAAAAGGTTGGTCGAAAGCGGATAGTTTCTCTCTGAAATATATCGATACCAGTAAAGCCATTTCAGTAGAATATAATGGTGAGGACGGGACCGCAGTGCATGACAATCTGGCGTGCGATCGGTGACGTCATCAGTCCACTGTAACCGGGAAAATATGGCTAGCTGCCAAATCAGTGTATTTATAGGATCGTGCTTCAAAAATCTTCATGCTACAGATACCTTGAGATTTAGCCTGAGGAATTTCTCTCTTCTCATGAATGGCCAATTTCACATAAACTTTTGAATGTTATATAAAGAATTTTCAGTCGATCGAGATGACTACTTGAAAAAATATCCGTTGTTTTCTGATGTGAGTCACAATAAAAGAACAACTTGACTCTTGTGCCGCTGAGTATCGACTAAGAATATGCAGAGGAGGATTAACTTGCCCCTCAGGCGTTTAGCTGTCAGATATCCTAGCCATTTTCCCGTACGCTCGAAGGCTGAGGTGCCAGAAGAGCTGCGGCGATTGGCAGAAAGTCGTGCAGCATTGGCCACGTTATTTGGTTTACAGCAGATTTTTCCGCATCAAATCAATTAGGTCCTGGTGCAAATGTGGCGCGCGCAACTGCGCTATTTGCACGTCGGTGCAAGTGTAATCAACTCACGCCGCTCCACTGGTTTTCTCAATTATTACATGCATCATTACATAACATCGTCAGTACGGAGTCGATCAGTAAGAGGGCAAATGGGAACCGCGCCGCAG